GGGCCGCGCCGGGCCACGCCGCCGCTCGGCACTTCCCACCTCCCGCCGCCGGCGGAGCTGCGGCCGCCTCCCGCCTCCTCCTCCCCGGGTCCCGGCGGCGGCCCCCGGGCCCCGCTTACCGCGGCGCGGGGAGAGGCGGCGGCCGCCGACGGGGAGCTGTGTCCGCGCCGCTCCCGCCGCTGCTGCTGCTGCCGCTGCCGCCGCGGCTGCAACAAAGGACTTCCGCCCCGCCGCGCTGCCGCTGCCGCAGCGCCGGCTCCGCCGCGACCGCACGGAGCCGGACCCCTCCCCTCGGCGGCCGCGGCTCCCGGCGCCGCCGCTGCCAGCGCTGCTGCGCCGCCGCCAATGCCGGGGCCCGGCGGGCGGCTCCCTGCCGCGCTCCGCTCTCCTCCCATGCCGCCGGGGACGCGGCGCGGCGCGGGCTGGCGCTGCCGGAGCCCCCTCAGCCCGGCCCCTCCCCGTCCTCCGGCGGAGCCCCCCGGACCCGCGGCGGGGCAGCGTCCGCCGGCGGGCGCCCACCGGGACCCCGCGGCCGGGCTGTCCCGCCTCGCTGCTCTCTCCCGGCCCCCGCAGTCCGCCCCTTCCCCGCGCACCCGGGCTCGCCGCAGGGAACGGGGAGTCTCTGCTTTCCGCCCGAACCAGCCGTGGCCGGTGCTAACGGGGAGGCTCCGGTCACCCGTGTGGGTGTCCGGCGATGGAGTGCCCCACGGCCCCCGCGTGGGACGGTTCAACTGCGAGAAAACCACTGCAAGCTGCGTGAGAAAGTGTTTCCTTCTCGCTGCAATTTCACACGTTAATACCTCCGCCCTCCCTCCTGGAGCTTCGCGGTGATGCAGGAGCACAGGGCTGGCAGCCACCGCCACGCTCTGTCACAGATCCCGAGGACAGCGCTTTTTTTCATCCTTCCAGGAGCTGTCCCAGACCCTCTTCCCACCAGTGTCTGGACCTCTCCTGTCTGACAACATCCAGCTCCTCCGGAACTATCCCATGTGAGTAAGTGGGATTTCCGGCCCCCCTACTATCTGCCGCAAATCTGAGAGAAAACATAAGCCAGGTCAGGCTTTCCTCCAGGTCTTGCCACTTGACTTTTCCATCCCTAAAGTGGCATTTGTCATTCAGCACAAGCATTGTAAGTGTTTAATCCGCACAGCTCCATCATTCAATTTCTGGAGATACCATTGTTTTTGTGTTGCTGCCACTGAGATCCCTCTAAGAATCTGACAAGCCAAAAGGGCAAACTTAATCATAGCAAAACTAAGAGATTTATTTTCAAATTTGAAAATGGCAAAAGTAACAAAAAAGGCAACAAAATAAAATGCGAGAATGTTAAAATGTCCCAGTATCCATCCCTGGCATGGATTCAGTGACACCAGAGGTTTTCCTGAAGCGTCCCTCCTCCGTGTAAGCAAACAGGACAAACCAAATTAACACAATCCTAGTTTCCAAATGGAAGATCAGCTCTTCCTTCTGAGTCTCTCTGGGGATTTTCCAACTACTACAGAATAAAAGTGGAGCTTTCAAAATAAATATGTCTTTCAGAATGTGTCTAAAAAATCCCCATTTCCCCTCTCACTCTGCTTCAGCCTTGCCCCAGGGGCGTGTAGCAGTGTCAAAGGAGAAAAAAAACTTCTGTGGCTGTTAAAACACCAGCTCCCACAGAAGATGGAGGGACCCCCACATTACAGCTACTTTGTAGGTTTTCCTGTTTTATAGGAAGTTAAATAAACGGCCTCCTTAAGCCAACAGAGTCGTGGTTTTCAAATTGCACTGAAAAGTTGCAGCTCTTACGGTTCAAGAGTCTTTTTCTTCCCTTCTCTTTACACACCTCAGGGCAGCACAAGCCAAGAGCGCCCGTGAGGGGCTTGTGCAGCGTCTTGCTCTGTCCCATGTGTGTCACAGCAGGAGCTTCTGCCACCTCTGGTAAGGTGGGGCACAAGGCAGTCGCCCTTTCTCACCACCCCCGTTCCCTCACTGCCCTCCCACCACACTTTCCTTTCCAATTTACTTTTTTCAAATTATTCTTTTCTGGCCACAGCGGAGGAGGGAGCAGAAACACACATGGAGTGAGTTGTGATTATGTCCTGATGTCTTTCTGTCCCACCAGCATAGGCTGTGTCACTTTGTATTAGCTGAGGTCAGTGATATCATCGCCTGTGTTTTACAGCATAACACCAAATTTCATTCCCCACCACTGCTTTCATCAGCTTGGCTCTGGTTTCTCTGAAGCTCTTCAAAGTCCTCTTTGGACCAGAGTCAACCTAAATAACATGTAAATAATTAATCATTTAAATAAATAACATGCCATCTGCAAATAGCGACTTGCTCTGTACATAGGTTAATAAATATGTTAAATAACCCAAAACAGAGTACAAAACCTTGAGCCACCTACTGCCAACCCTCTTTGGGGAAGAAAAGTGGCAACTGATATTTATAGGAGCAGCAGGATTATAGCTCCATGATCTCTCAATTCTGCTGCTGTGCAGACACAAGAGGGAAAGATGGTCCCTGAGTCCTGTGAGCTTTATATTTAAAACTGAAGAAATAGAACATAAGGCAATGGAAAAGATAAAGCTGTGCTGGTCAGTGGGATAAGCAGGAAATACATGGATGAAAATGCTTTGGAGACTATGCTCTGTCATCTCTCAGCCCATCTTCATCATCCACCCAGGCTCAGGCTGCCTGGAAACAGCCCCATAAGCTGATGTATTCTGGTGACCAGGGGCATTATTTGCCTTAAATATTCAAGAGTTGCAGTTATGGGGATGCAATAAGAAAATGGACTACAAACTATCAAATGCCGAGAGGAAACCAAGAGGGATGATCCGAGGCACTGAGTGTCTCCTGCAGAGGCCCTGAGTCAGCAGGGATGACATGGAGGAGGTGGGTGTGATAGATCTTGGAAACTGCACCAAAATAATGAAAAAGCGCACAAACGGTGATTTTTCACTGCATTTTCCAGCTGGAAAAACAAGGTGTGAACTTGAAATTAACCTGGTGGCAGCAGGACTGCACGGACTGGACGTTTGAACAGGTTCAGGATGCAGTTTGGTAGCATTAATCGGAGAGGCAGCTCAGAGGTTGTACCGAGTGCCGGAGCGGAGGGGTGGCGCTCAGGGGGACCCTCGGGAGGGGCTGCTGGTGGCCGGGCAACCGCGGTGAGGGTGGGAGCGCCGCCTGTGCCTCCTCCTCTGCCTGGCTCCTCTCTCAGCCGCCACAGCTGCTCTCTCAAAATAACCCCTGGTTTAACATCAGCGAGCGATTGGAGGAGGCCTGACAGAGAAATGGTGCGTCTTCAGGATTCGTGGTGGTTAAAGCAGCACAGAGGCCGCAGACATTGGTGAGGAAGCCAGATCGTATCTTCTCATCCATTCTCACGAGCGGCCAGACCGGGGAAACTCCTTTTACCATTTTTTTTTTCTTTTTTTTTTTTTTTT